AGGCCCTCACCAGAAGCACATGCTGGCACCACACTTCCTGTATGGCTTGCAGACCCTCTTCTTTATAAATTATCCAGCTCCAGGTACTTCTTTATAGCAATGCAAGAACCGTCTAATACAGTTACCACATGACAAGGACTCTTCGTAGTTCAAAAAGAAAAGCCAGATATCAGCAATTTCATATGATTTGACCTACTTGATTATTTAATTTATATTCTCAATAAATTGAAAATCATTTTAAAAATAAAAATGAAGTTTATGAATCATCTTTTCTGCATATGAAAATTAGCCCTGAGTTGGCCGAGCATGGTGGCTCACACCTGTAATTCCAGTATTTTGGGAGGCCAAGGCGGGCAGATCATGAGGTCAGGAAATCAAGACCATCCTGACTAACACGGTGAAACCCCATCTCTACTAAAAATATAAAAAATGAGCCAGGCATGGTGGCAGGTGCCTGTAGTCCCAGCTACTCAGGAGGCTGAGACAGGAGAATGGCGTGAACCTGGAAGGCAGAGTTTACAGTGAGCCGAGATCACGCCTCTGCACTTCAGTCTGGGTGACTAAGCAAGACTTCGTCCCAAAAAAAAAAAAAAGAAAATTAGCCCCAAGTTCACCAAAACCGTCACATCAACAGCTGGTCTCCTACCAAACATGAGACACAAGTACTGTTTGATTGGACCCAGGTTAATAAAAACTTTATTTATTTTGAAATCTCAATGATCTAGATCTCTTTAAAACTATTAATTCGTTCCTCTAGTTACTAGAAAGGGCAGAAGCATTGGTTAAAATCTTATCTGTCACTTAGCAGCTGGTTAAAACCTTGTCTAGGCCAGTAATCCTAGCACTTTGGGAAGCCGAGGAAGGCAGATTGCCTGAGCTCAGGAGTTCAAGACCAGCCTGAGCAACACGGTGAAACCCGGTCTCTGCTAAAACACAAACAATTAGCCGGGTGTGGCAGCATGCGCCTATAGTCCCAGCTACTTGGGAGGGTGAGGCAGGAGAATTGCTTGAACCCGGGAGGTAGAGGTTGCAGTGAGCTGAGATCGCACCACTGCACTCCAGCCTGGGCAACACAGCGAGACTCCATCTCCAAAAAAAATAAAATAAAGAAAGAAAACCTGGGCCGGGCGCGGTGGCTCACGCCTGTAATCCCAGCACTTTGGGAGGCCGAGACGGGCGGATCACGAGGTCAGGAGATCAAGACCATCCTGGCTAACACGGTGAAACCCCGTCTCTACTAAAAAATACAAAAAACTAGCCGGGCGTGGTGGCGGGCGCCTATAGTCCCAGCTACTCGGGAGGCTGAGGCAGGAGAATGGCGTGAACCCGGGAGGCGGAGCTTGCAGTGAGCTGAGATCCGGCCACTGCACTCCAGCCTCGGCGACAGAGCGAGACTCCGTCTAAAAAAAAAAAAAAAAAAAAGAAAGAAAACCTTGTCTATCACTTAGCAATGATATTCCTATCACTTTAGGAATGTCATTTAATCTTATAACCTAAGTTTTCTTATATTCAAAATGGCAATAATAATAATAAAACTCTGTAAAGCCGTAAGTATTAGTGATGGCAGCAGCAGCCAGTCTGAAGCAGGGCAGGCGTGGCCAGGGATACGCGCTCTGTGGAACCAAGGGAAGCTGGGAGCAAGCAGGAGCCCTTCCCGGTTCTGAGTTGGCGGGGCGGGAGCCCAGTGCTCCTAGGCATAGCTGCAGCCTCCCAGCCACTGCTGTGGACCTGGGCATCCCTGTGCTCTCAGGGGCCCCAGAAGCCCCTCTTCCCCACAGGCTTATAAGTGCTTGATTCCGCTTCCTGGCCTCTCCCTGCTCCCTGTGCCCGCTCTGATTCTGGAGCAAAATTGACGCTGAGCCTGGGCGCTGTCCCAACCCGGCCAGGTGAGTGCCGCTCAGGATGGCGCTGACACACCAGCCCCCTCCCACCTCAGCCCCCTCTAGACTTTGGGAGCCACTCTGGACTAATCCTTTTGACTACGAGGATGGGAGGGAGGCCGAGGAGGAGCTGAGGACGGCTGGCTGCAGGCCTGCAGGCACCCCTCAGCACAAACAGCCTGGGCGCCTTGGACGACATGACTGACAGCAGAAGGCAGACAGGCTGATAGGTAGAAAGGGTCGGGTCCGTGGTGATGCCCCACTTTCAAGCCAAGACCAGCCCAAAACCTTGGGGACCTGGCTGTCAGTTCCGGGTGAAGCCTGTGGCCCACAGTGAGAACTGATGGTGCTTTTTCTGGCCCGCCCATGGCTGCCCATGGACCAATCAGCATGCACTTCCTCCCTTCTGAGCCCATGAAAACCTCAGACCCAACCAGATTCACACAGACACTGGGACTACCAGCTGCAGAAAGGAGTTACCCATTTCAGGTCTCCTGAGAGCTGTTCTGCCACTCAATGAAGCTCCTCTCTGCCTTGCTCACCCTCCAGTTGCTCACCCTCCGCGTACCTCATTCTTCCTGGATGCAGGACAATAACTCAGGACCCACCGAATGGCGGTACTAAAAGCTGTAAGACAAACCGGGGCTGAAACATGTCCCCGTGCTGACTACATTGCAGGCAACAAGAAGGAGAGAAGAACTGTGGCCCTTCAAGAAGCCAAGATCTAGGGGCTCCCCAAGCCAAGGCTGTAAACACCCTCTTTGGGGCTCTGCGGTTCCCAGCATCTCCTTGCTTCCAGGTGCCACCATGTTCCCCTTGTCCAGACGCGGGTGCCCTCAGTGAAAGCCTCATTCAGTACACTTAGTCCAGCCCCAGTCTTGCATGGAGCCACCCACCACCAGACCCTGCACTTGCTCACCCACACATCCCTTGCCACTCTGCACCTGGCTTGCCCCTGGTAGGTATGGGATCTGAGCTGGTAGAATGAGCTGAGTGCAGCCTACCAGGCCAAGTGGGTGGAATAAGCCCAGTGGGCACAAGCAATACTCAGGCAGAAGGCGCCGCTAGCCACAGAAGTTTCTGTCTTGGTGAAGCGACACCCCAAGGATCCCGTGACGTTAGGGGTAATGTTTATAAAATACCTAGCAAGGGCTCAATAAATGGCTTATTATTACCATAAATGTCTACAGGACTAAACGAAACATTACAAACCTTCGGGAGAGAGCGTACTGTCTTAACACACTGCACTGCTCCAGGCCCGTCTGCCTGATGCTCTGCCCGCTCCAGGGCCCCCACCAGAAAGTCTCTCGCTATCCTATACTACCTGCACCTGCCTCTACTTATTTTGGTTCACCCTGAATTCCAGTCAATTATTTCTTGTTTACTTCCCGCTTTGTCCTCTTCTCTCATCTCAATACAGCATCTTACAGATAATCTTCATGAAATGGGAATCCAGTAAACATGGCTAGCATCAGCAAAATCCCCACTGGATTATCTACATGGCAGGGAACAATGGCGGGTGAGGACCCACAAGCGAGGGGAAGGAAGCTGCAAGGGTGGGTTGGAGTTAGACCTCCATAAGCCTCAGGACATGGACTGCACCTGGAGGGATGACATCCACCAAAAGCTTATGCAACAGTGTCCCAACTGGATGTGGGTCCAGAATGACTAACTCTGGCCATCAAGAGGAATGCCCAAGGAAGGGACATGGGACAGGCTATTTTCACAGCTCACACAAAAGATAATACACATGAGCATGGAAAGAGGAGCAGTGGAGATGAAGGAGCGGAGCTGACAATTTAGGGAGTGCTGTTAGAACTAGTAACTTCACAGAAGCGAGGAGGAGGTGCGAGGAAAAGCAGCCTGGTGTGTTAATTTGAGATTTTCTCTTTTTTAAGCAGAAGAATACAAACACAACTCATTTTGGACATGTGGCTGAGGTTGAAGTATTTTCAGAATACTCAGGGAAAGACATTTAGGATGTAGGTGATGATATACCCCAGCCACTCGGGTTGATTTAGGAAACAAGATGTTGTAGGAATGGACGAGATGACCTAAGAGAGGGTGCTGCTGAATAAAAATATAACATGAGCCACAAATATAAGCCACACACGCGGTTTTAACTTTCCTAGCAGTGACCAGGCATGGAGGCTAACATCTTTAATCCAAGTATTTTGGGAGGCCATGGAGGCAGGATCCCTTGAGCTCTGAGTTTGAGGCTACAGTGAGCTATGATGGCCACTGTACTCCAGCCTAGGTGACACAGTAAGACCCTGTCTGAAAAATAATAAGAACAATAAAATTTTCTAGCAGCCGCATTAAAACATAAAAAGAGGCTGGGCGCGGTGGCTCAAGCCTGTAATCCCAGCACTTTGGGAGGCCGAGACGGGCGGATCACGAGGTCAGGAGATCGAGACCATCCTGGCTAACACGGTGAAACCCCGTCTCTACTAAAAAATACAAAAAACTAGCCGGGCGTGGTGGCGGGCGCCTATAGTCCCAGCTACTCGGGAGGCTGAGGCAGGAGAATGGCGTGAACCCGGGAGGCGGAGCTTGCAGTGAGCTGAGATCCGGCCACTGCACTCCAGCCTGGGCGACAGAGCGAGACTCCGTCTCAAAAAAAAAAAAAAAAAACATAAAAAGAAACAGGTGAAAATAATTTTACTAACATCGTTAACCCAAAATATCCAAGGACAAAGGGGGTCACAAAGACTAGGGAAGACCACTCATAAAAAGACAAATTTGAGGCCGGACGTGGTAGCTCATGCCTGTAATCCCAGCACTTTGGGAGGCCGAGGCAGGTGGATCACTTGAGGTCAGGAGTTCAAGACCAGCCTAGCCAACATGGCAAAACCCCATCTCTACTAAAAATACAAAAATTAGCCCGGTGTGGTGGCACACGCCTATAGTCCTAGCTACGCCGGGGGCTGAGGCATGAGAATCACTTGAACCCAGGAGGTGGAGGTCCCAGTGAGCCGAGATCATACTACTGCACTCCAGCCTGGGTGACAGAGCAAGACTCTGTCTCAGAAAAAATAAAAAATAAATTTAAAAAAGCAAATTTGGTTTTGACTAAGACACATCAGTTCCTTATGGGACACAAGTAAACATGGTACTCACAGTTTCTGAAGAAGAGGATGATCTCTGTAAATTCTCACTTTGTACCCAAATGCTCTCCGTCACAAATGCTATGTGTTCTGCTTCAAGTATAAAAGGAGACACAAGAAATAGAGCCCACTTGTTCAAGTCTTCAATGGACTGTAGAGAGGGAAAGAAACATGAGATTGTCACTTCACACCACAACTGCCATAAATGTCAACCCCCTCTGAAACACACCCTCCCCTATAATTCCAAGTAACATCTAAATAAGCTTATCTGATGCTCCTCTGTAGGCCACAGGAACCCTGTGTTTCTTGTTTAGCTGTGACTATTTAAGCACCTGCAAAAGCCCATCTGTGACTCAAGACAGCTTTAACATCTCTAGACAACTGTTCTCAAGCAATGAATTCTGAAACGGGGCTTATCCCCACCATTCCTCACTGCTTAGCACATAGTAGCTAACTGGGAAGTACATTTAAAGATGAGGAAGCTGGCCAGCACAGTGGCTCACACCTGTAATGCTAGCACTTTGGGAGGCTAAGGTGGGCGGATCGCTTGAGCCCAGGAGTTCAAGACCAGCCTGGCCAACATAGTGAAACCTTATCTCTACAAAAACATACCAAAAAAATGAGTTGGGCATGGGGGCCTGTAGTCCCAGCTACTCAGGAAGCTGAGGTGGGAGGATCACTTGAGCCTGGGAGCCCAAGGTTGCAGTGAGCTGAGATCATGCCACTACACTCCAGCCTTGGGTGACAGAGTGAGACCCTATCAAAAAAAAAAAAAAAAAAAGGCGAGGAGGCCTAGAGGTACGTACCCACCAACAAAAACTCCTTACTCACAGAAGCCCAAAGGGCTGTTCCTTCATTCCCTACAGCCATCACAGCACAGGCACAAGGCAGTTTTTCTTTACGCCTTCCTTATAGTGAAATCAACCCTGCTCCTCTCCCTGAGATCTGGGAAGTGTGCAAGTCTCTGGATGCTCACACAGCAGTCAAATCCAGAGAGAAAAGCTATTTCAGGGAAAGGCATTTACCATATGCAGAGATGCAATCAGACATACTTTAATGGAATGTAAACTCCGGTCAGGAGTGATTGTAGTTTTTAAAAAAGAAGATTAGAATCAAGATTGGTTAGCAAATCAGATACACCCAGTTATCTCTTGTTTTCTTTCCTGAAATGTCTCTAAGAAAAATAGCAAATTTTAAAAGGCTTTGACATACAGGGCATAGCCAGAGAAGAAAAAGATGAAATCTAAGCTGGGCACACAGGGGGCTTTCACCATTCACCCAGAACAAAGGTAACTAGGCAGGCTCCACTGTGCTGCATATCAGTTCAAATCTGCTTGATAAAAACCTGTTGAACTAAATGAATGAAAATTTAGGGAAGAATTTGTCCCTCCCTCAGTAAACATAATTATCAATATAGTGGTTAAAAAGTATGTCCACTTAGGCCGGGTGCGGTGGCTCACGGCTGTAATCCCAGCACCTTGGAAGGCTGAGGCACCTGAGGTTGAGAATTGGAGACCAACCAACATGAAGAAACCCCATCTCTACTAAAAATACAAAATTAGCCAGGCGTGGTGGTACATGCCTGTAATCCCAGCTACTCGGTAGGCTGAGGCAGGAGAATCACTTGAGCCCGGGAGGCGGAGGTGCGGTGAGCCGAGATCGCGCCATTGCACACTAACCTGGGCAACAAGAGCAAAACTCCATCTCAAAAAAAAAAAAAAAAAAAAGCATGTCCGCTTTATCCAAGCATGGAATGTGTATATTAAACATATATTAAACAGTCAAAAAGCTTGACATTGCCAATTTGTATAAACTATCTTTGGTTAAACCTATTGATTGTAGTGCATTCCATTATAAACATACACATTCAGTACTGATGCATTTGATTTTAAATGTATAACATATGAGAACAGGCCAGGCTTGGTGACTCACACCTGTAATCCCAGCACTTTGGGAGGCCAAGGTGGGCAGATCACCTGAGGTCAGGAGTTCAAAACTAGCCTGGCCATCACTGTGGTGAAACCCTGTCTCTACTAAAAATACAAAAATTTGCCAGGCATGGTGGCTCATGCCTGTAATCCCAGCTGCTCAGGATGCCAAAGGAGGAGAGTCACTTGAACTTGGGAGGTAGAGATAGCTGTGAGCCGAGAGCGCGCCACTGCACTCCAGCCTGGGTGACAGAATGAGATCCATCTCAATATACGGATGTGAGATTCAGGTGTGTCCTTATTTCAGCCCACGTAGACTGAGGTATCCATCAAAGTGGACCCAAGTAGACTGAGGTATCCACCAAATCATCCACCTGATCATATATTAAATCTCAAAATAACAGTAGCCAACCACAAATAAATGGTCAAGCTTTCCACCTGCAGACCTTAAACATCGCAGCTGAAACCCAACAACCATTACATGTTCTATTTCAGGTCAAGCTGCTTTGCTAAACAGGCTAATTTCCTAAGAGGAAAAAGATATGAACTAGAATAGGAACTGTGATTTAAAGGCGAGGGACGCAGAGCATGGCAGTCCCATCTAGTCCAGAAAACTAGGAAATGATGCAGCGATATCTAACCAAATCTGTAGGCAAAGCTTACTGTGCAGAGTGAGAAAGCAGAGTTGCAGAATCCCTGAAAGCACCAGCCACTCCTACTCCGGCCTGCAAGTAGGCAAGGGCTGAAAACCACTAGTTATGGTTAGTGTAGTTAACAGAAGACCAGCAGAGACATGAAAATATTCAAAACCACAACTGTCCAAGAAAATCAGACATTCCCATCTCAATATTTTCATGTGTCCAAAATTTCTATTCTGACCTAAATCCCAAAAGTAATTGATCCAATTTGGAAACTACTACAAAAAGCTCACCCCTCAATTTTTTCCCATTTTACTGAGTCATCTTTCTCAATCAGGTTAATTCCCACCACTCTAAGCCATACATTGTATGTAATGAATGAACTTCTTCCCCTTTTGTCTGGGTAGTGTCAGTTATGCAGAGGTGGTACTAGTTATGTACATAACTTGAAGGACCTGAGAAAACAGTCATTCATATGCAGTGTGTCATAATACATACATAGTACTAACAAAAAAGAGTATTTTTTATTTGCTAGTGGCACAATTTCATCCCTTATCTAAGCATAGCCTCCAGGCAATGTTCAAACCTTAGATAAGATTCAATTTCCCACAGGGGTTTTATGGTGTGACACAGCAGAAAACGTCATTTTAAGGCTAAAAGTGAGGCAATATTCCAGAAAGCAGAGGAAAGGGACAAGAAACTGATTAAAAGCACAACATGTTTAAATACTGAGAACAATTCTCCCGATGTCCATGAAATTTTGTGCAGTACTGCACTGTGAAACCAAGCCCATTTCCAAAAACAGCTGAATGGAAAGATCTATTGTTCCCTTTACAGCAAGGCAGCAGACTTTTTACAGAGATTAATTGACTGGCCCAAGTCACAATGTAGGTGACAGAGTGGGCAGAACACGTAACCACCATCCTAAGTATTGGGTCAAAACAAACAAAGGCTGAGTGTCAACTGAAACTTAAAGGACACAAAGACCATCACTCGGGTGCCCAAGTTGGTGAATAATGCAACTGACAGAAGACGGAGAGGAGAAAGTGCAGTTTTTTATATTTTGGAGACATCTGACAAAAAGCTGATGACACATGTGGGAGTTTTTTGTTTGAGATCTTTTTTTTTCTTAAGACAGGGTCTTGCTTTGTCACCCAGACTGGAGTGCAATGGCTCAATCATAGCTCACTGTGGCTTCAACCTCCGGGACTCAAGTGAACCTCCCGGGCTCAAGTGACACTCCCGCCTCACCCTCCCTAGTAGCTGGGACTACAGGTGCGTGCCACCACACCGACTTAAGTTTGTTCGTTTGTTTTTTGTAGAGAGGGGTCTAGCTATGTTGCCCAGGATGGTCTCCGTCTTCTGGGCTCAAAGATATCCTCCCTCCTGGGCCTCCCAAAATGCAGGGATTACAGGCATAAGCCACGGCTCCCGGCCGGCCACAGCTGTCTTTCCTGGTTCACAGTCACCCAAACGCCGGCTCCAAGGGTGGGAAAGGAGGTCGGGGGCGACCCCAGGTGGGCGCTGCTGGCGTCCGGCTGCCAATCCACAGCTCACGTCCTCACAGGTGCGCGCCTAGAGTCACGCGTCCACGCACCGCCCCGCTGACCGGGAAGAGGCGACAGGGTCCGTGGTCCGAGTCCCGCACCTCCGGCCTCTCTCTGGGCCCCGGGGTACCCACCCCTCCCGGGCCGCACAGGCCGCACTAAGGACGCCACCCCGGGGCTCCTGAACTCCCGGGCTCCCGGCGGGGACGAGGCGCAGGGACGGGGGCACTTCCGGCTCGCGGGGCCCGGGTCGCCCGCCCTCCCGGCCCGCCCACCTGGCTGTCGCTGACGCAGAAGACGCGGCCGCCGCGGCTCAGGCACACGCGGGCGCCGGGGGGCTGCGCAGCCGCGCCGCAGAAGGTGAAGGAGCAGCGCGAGGCGCGCAGCCGCCGCACCGTGGCGCGAACGAGCTCAGCCGGCCGGCGACCCCAGCGCGCCCACAGGTACAGGTAGCACAGCGTGATGAGCATGGCCGCGCCGCTGGCAGGGCGAGCCCGCCCTCCCCAGCGCCCCAGGCCCGGCCCCGCCCCGGCCGGAAGGGCCGCGCCACCCTCCCGGGCCGGGCGGCGCGAGGGTGGGGACGGCGGGGGAGGCGGGGACCCGGAGGGTGACGCGGGCAAGTGGAGGCTGCAGCGGGAGGGGCGGGGGAGCGGGGAGGCCGCGCCGGGTTGTGTGATGAGGAGCTTCGGAGGCCGTGCCCAGGGCTGGTGGCGGCGGCGAGGGGCAGCGCCGGGGTGGGGGGTGTGCACCGGGGTCAGTGGCTGCACCCGGGGAGGGGGCTCAGGAGGGGGTGAAGGCCGGGGTGAGGGGCCGCGCCTGGGCTGTGGAGTGGGATGGGTAGGTTGTGGATGCGGGGGAGGGGAGGCTCCAGTGGCTGCCCGACCTGTTTAAGCCAAGTCCAGCCTCCCTTCCTTGGAGGAGTGGGAGGCGGATTGAGGAGGGGGCTCTGCCTATGTTCAAGGCCAACGTTTACTAACCAGCACCACACCCGGAGTCCCAGAGCGCTCACACAGCCGCTACCCAGTCCATTTGGGAAAA